AGGATAAATAAAATGTGGTATATCCATACAACAGAATACTTTTTGTAACAGAAAGGAATTGAGTACTGATAGATATTACAAGATGGATAAACCTTGTAAACATTGTGCTGAGTGAAGCAGCCTATTTCAAGAAAGACCACATTATATGATTGTGTTACTCTGCAAGAGTTCTGATTGAGAGCAATTGATATCAGCAATCTAAGCAGAAGAGAAAATATATAAGGTATGCAAGTAAAATAATTATTTTTACATAAATATGTATGAAATTACTTTTCTAAGTAGTCACCTTTTGAGCCTAAGCAAATGCCTGTACTGTTATTAATAGTTCTGATAATTTCAGTTTTTTTAGTTAAGAGCCCAAGAAAATCAATCAGTCACTCGATGAAAGACTATTACTTTATAGAGTAATAGACTGCTATTCTAAAACTTGGCCATCATTTATTCAGACTTGGCTCTGAATGTTCCTTGAGAGGCCTTTCAAAAAAAACCCACTCTCAGAGAAAATGATTAGATAAACTGAGAATATTTGCAAGAATGTGCTAAAAGCTGGTCTAAAATTACTGAATAATTAATCTTTTACTTTTACTCTGTATAGCCAACAGCTGAAAGGTGTTTTAGCTGAAATGCTGTGAGCTTTCAAAATCAGGCAGCCTCACGCTACAGTCACAATTACATGGTAAAGCAAATGTAACCTCTTCTCTCCATCATCACCTGCTACCACCTAATCTAAGTCCCTTCATCGTTCACCTGAATATTCCAGCTGATGGGTATTCCTAGTTTACTCTTGTCTCCCTCCAGTTCATTCTCCATAAAGCACTAGAACAGGTCACTCTTTTCAGAACCCTCTAAACTTGCACTTGTTCTGACCCTGCTGGCCTCCCCTTGCTCACAATGCCCTAGCGGCCGTCAGCCTCAAGGAACAGCCAGACCATTCTTGCCTCTGGCAACCTCCCACCCTCTCTCGTCTCGCTCTGCTCTCTCTTCTCTCTCTCTCTGTCTCTCTGTCTCTCTCTCTCTCTGTCTCTCTCTCTGTCTCTCTTCTGGTCTCCTGTCTCTCCTCTCTGTTCTCTCTGTCTCTTCTCCGTCTCTCTCCTTCTCTCTTCTCTCTCGTCTCCTCTCTTCTCTCGTCTCTCTCTCTTCTCTCTTCTCTCTGTCTCTCTCTGTCTCTCTCTGTCTCTCTCTCTCTCAGTCTCTCCTCTCGCATCAGCCTGCTTCAATTCCTGGCTCAGCAATCCTCCTGCCTCCAGCCTCCCGAGTACTGAGGTAGCATGGGTGCC